ATCCGCTTCTGGAACACGCTGACGGGGCAGCCGCTGCAGTACGTGGACACGGGCTCGCAGGTGTGCAACCTCGCCTGGTCCAAGCACGCCAACGAGCTGGTGAGTGGTACCGCACGCACGCACGCACGCACGCACGCGCTAATCGCCACGACGGTCGCCCATTCGCCACCGAGTGATGGCAAACATCACCATCGGCGCTTGTACCCGGCTAGGTGCGCTTTGAGGCCGTCGCATTGAAGTGTGAAAGGCTCGCTGGCAGAGGGGGGGGGGTCACGGATTGGCGCAGGTTTTACGGTTTGACTGAGATGACTGGCCCGTGCAACCCCACTGTGGCGTGCACCCTTTGTATACAGCTGGGTGGACAGAGGCAGGGAGGATGAATAAACGTTCCTTATTGCTCTTCACCTCTGCATTGAAAGTCCAGTGGTTGAGCTGCCCGGCGCTCCCACTCGTTGTGAGCGTCACTCCTCCGGCGACGTTGGATAATCTCTCCCTTCAGTTTCTTCTGATGTTTGGTGAAGATTTGGCTCGCCCGTCCACCTCTCCACCAACGTCATTCCAGCCCAGATTTTGCGACGGCGTGCACGCTTGCCGTCTCCGCGCGTAGATGTGTGTGCGTGTGTACATGCGAGAGGCTGACGGCGATCGTTGCTGTCGCGTCCCCCTGTGCAGGTGAGCACCCACGGATACTCGCAGAACCAGATCCTCGTGTGGAAGTACCCGTCGCTCACGCAGGTCGCCAAACTCACGGGGCACTCCTACCGCGTGCTCTACCTGGTGAGCACGCCGGCAGATACGCGCGTACCGATACGCGCCCATTTCACACCAACACTTTCCCTGTCTGCCCTTCCTTGAGTCCGTCACCTCTCAGTCTCTCTGCCACACCCTTCTACTGCCTTCCCTCACTACTTCTCTGTTATCTGTCCCTCTCATTGCCTCCGTGTCTGCCTTCCCTTGCCTGTTGAACTCGGCCGCCCCAGCCTCTCACGTTTGTATGTCTACGGGCGTTCATGCGCGTGCGCGCGCGTGCGTGTCTAAGTGCATGCGTGCGTGTGAACGTGTCTGTATGAAGCATGTGAGTGTGCATGTGTCTGTGTGTGCATGCGGAGAGAAGTGGCTTGCGCACTGCGCTACAAACCCGACCCACGTTCAATTCCCGCTCCGACATCGGTGATTAATATCTGAACTGCTCCTGGGACTTCCCCCTAGGTTAACTTATCCTACAAATAGGATAAGTTAACCTTATCCTATCGTCATCTGGGCAAGCAACAAAGGCACCCAGGTGTATTGTCGGCCACACCATCCTCCCCGTGTGTTGTGCCCCAACCCTCCATGGTCGCCGCTCGCCTAACACCACTTGCCCCGACAGTTTGGTGATGCTACACGGGGGAATCTTTGCGTTCGCAGGCAATGTCACCGGACGGCGAGGCGATCGTGACGGGGGCCGGAGACGAGACGCTCCGCTTCTGGAACGTCTTCAGCAAGACGCGCTCCACCAAGGTACGGAGGGGTGGGAGGGCGAGGGGGGGGGGCGCTAACGAGGCTGCCGTTCAATTAAAATGTAAACCTGTTCCAAACCTGCCGAGTGTCTCAATGGTGGAGCGCTTGGCTCGCCACCGGAAGCTTGCGACTTCAAATCTTGGTGGAGGTTGACTCTGCCGCCCATCATCTCTCCCTTCAGGGTCGACAAAAAGGGTGTGTCACTTCGTGGAGATAATCAGCAGTGGTGGTCCTATGGATGGACTGGGGAATGGAAAATGTTTCACCTGGAAAATCCCTTGGGATGGATTCACATGTCGTTTGCAGGCTGTAATTTGGCGCTTGCGTAGCAGCACGTAACGACGCCGCTTATACGCAATTTTTTTAAATCTATCTGATGAGAGACCGCGTGCTGACAACGTTGACGATATTCAACAATATACAAATGTTATTTATTGGCCCAGATTTATAAGAGTGAAAATTTGTAATGGTTACTCTGTTTCCACGATGCCATGACACCCGAATTCAGAAGCCCGGTCAAGTGACGCATTTATCCTGACTTGCTGGACTCTGTCCTGAACGTGCTCTGTTAGGCTGTGAGAGTTGCTCGCTGGCAAGATGACACAATTACAATAGGCGAGTCGTTAAAACGTTCGTACACCGCGCGACAGTTGTGTTCTTTGGGGCTGCGTCGTGCGATTTTTTTTTTTGGAGGGCCCTCGCGCTGAAATCTGTCCCCAGATCATTTACGTGACCCTGCCCCAAAAAAATAAATCGTGGAATCGTGACACCGACCGTGAAAGACCTGCGCGGTGAGGTAACCTTGCAGGTGTGTTTGGATTTTGACGACCATTTTTGTTTTGCCTGTCTCGACAGGAATCCAAGTCTGTATTGAACCTGTTCACCAGGATACGATAAACCCACGCGGGGGACGACGACAGCTGTCATTGTCACACTCTTGGTGAGGCTGCGCGTGAGTTGGTGAGGGGCAGTGGTTGCGCTCACGGACAGTTTGCAGGTTGAGATTTTGTTTGGCCGGCTGAGAACTCGAGAGAGACCCAGGAGCGAACTGGGGTCGCCAAACTGACAAAAGCAACAGCACGGAAAACAAAGTCACGACCGTGAAGCAAATGGAAAATCGGAGCAAAGACAACAAAATAGAAATCGGGCAAGAGGTAGGAGAGTGAGATGAGAGGAGAGATGTAGGGAGAGTGTCTGGAGGGTCATCGTGTGAGAGGGGGAGAGGCAGGGAGAGTGTGTCGTGGAGTCGAGTGAGATGAGAGGTAGGAGAATGTATAGGGGGAGTAGTGAGATGAGAGGTAGGAGTGTGGAGGGGAATGGTGAGAGGTAAGAGAGTGTGTGTTTGGAGGGGGAGTAGAGCATCTAGTTTGCTTAGCGATGCAGCCTCGCAGTGTTAGTTTGTTTGCGTGACCAGTGCTAATGGCCGTGTCTTCTCCCACCCGCAGGTGTGTGCAGCACTTAAAAGACCTAGCACCGAGCACCTCACAAAGTCACAGAAGTGCTGGCTGGTCGGGCGAATCGCCACGTGTGTCGCATCTCGATTAATTACACCGCCGGCCGTGAAGATGCCGGCGCGCCGTACCGGCGCCTCCCGCAATACCAGGCGTGTACTACCGGCACTTTCCGTTACGGTTCCTATTCCTGCAACGTGGTGTCCCCGCACAGCGGGAAGATGCCCGTGAAAGACGGCTGCGCGCAAGACGGGGATAGGGTTTCATACCTGGACTTGTACATTCACATTTCCATCACTGGTCGCTGTACATTTACCGACCGTTACGATCGTAACATAGGAATAGTGTTGATGATAAAGCAAAAGTGTTGTGTGTGTGTGTAGTGGTGCATGCCTGTGTGTGTGTTGGGGAAGGGGGGTGGCGAGTGTGGTGATGGTGAATGAGGGGACCCCCTCGTCCCCCCCCCCTGAGCAACCCCTGTATGTTTGGCCCCTGTCATGGCGGGCGTGAGAAGCGGACTCGCATAAAAGTATAATTACACCAAGGTCGCTGTCGACGTTCCTGATTGTCCATTGACTTAGGCGTTTATCACGTTGGGCAGTTGTGGAAAGATTTGAATTTTTCCATCGTGTTGTCCGTTGTCCGACTTTTACAAATGGTCTATTAAATGCTCGGACGGTTCAAAAGAGTTCTGCAGTTGCCCATTAAGTTTGGTCGTTAAAAATAAATACCTGCAAGGGTGTTGTGCACGTTGCTCGCTTGTTCTCCCTCGCACGGGGTCCAACTCGGGCCGGTTTGTGGCAGGAATGTGTACGCACGCCAGTCGCAGCTCCACGTTTGGACTGACGCAACCGACGAGCGTATTTCTCAATGTGTGGAAGACGGGCAATGGCCCACGCGAATGAGACTCTAACGTTATTCTAACTGTTGCGTGCCCATGAACTCAGTGCGACCGTCAGTTATTTACCTATTGAACCTCCTCTCGCACCGCCGTTTCAAGAGTTCTGCGAGTTCCTCCCCACTCCCCCTTACCGCCGCTCCCCCTGTGCCCCGCCCCCCTCTCCTATAATTGGGATTCGGCCGCTGCGCTCACCTCCCAGACTTTGGGCCCCCTACTTCGTTAAGCGACAACTTCAACACAAACCCCCACCCTCACCTCTTCTTCCACCTCTCTACCCTCTTCCTTCATCCTGCCCACCTTCTCCAAGGTCCTCCGTCCCCAGATCACCTGGGATCCGTCCTCTGGTTACTCCCGCCACTCGGACATTGCAACAACGCTTGTACCCCGATGTTTCCGCCAACGCTCTCTTACACCATCTCCCTCCCCCCCTTGCCATCTACTGTCCCCACTGCCGTATGACATTTGCACCGTTCTCAACCCCATCCTCACATTTACCCCCAGCGTTCCCTCCATCATTGTCCCCATCGTCGCCCTCATCTTCCCCCTCCCCCCATCATTACCGCCGCCCTCTTGCAACTGTGCGACCTTGTCCCCCGTATTATGCTCCCACTGCCTCCCCCGATCTGTGCAACACCTCGACCCTCGGGACTTAACGCCTGTCGCCGCTGCCCGTGGCGTGCGGCGGGTGCCGCGCCGTGGACGTCCACGCCGAGCGGCGCCCGCGCCAGGCGACGATGGTTCCCTCCCTCCCAAGGTTTTCACGTTTTGCACCCCAAAGCCCAAAACAACGGCAACCGTGGATAATTTTCCGTCAAAATGCGACGGCGTTTAACGCCGCTGTACAGAAGCGGTGGTGAGGCATGTTGATCCTAGTCAGGCGGTGGGCGTGAAGCAGAGAAGGGGAATGAGTGTTGAGCCTGCGGATGAGCAGGGAGGTGATGGAAAAGGGTGGTCAGGATGCTTCCCTCCACCTAGGAATCCCCACCAATCATCGTCCCTTTTTCCCCAAAGCCCCTTATAATAACCTTGCTCGATTCAAGAAACGCGTTAATTCGTTATTCTTTGCGACCTCAAACGGTGCTGTTTGTTGCAGGCCGTTTGGCATTTTGGGTTTCTTGGCCTCTTGTCAAAATGAAACTGGAGGGCGGTAAAAGTCCGCTCACACAGTGCAACGTTTATTTGGTGCAATTCTACATGGTACAAACGCGCCTCGACCACCGGAGGATTACGTCACGCAGCTTGGCACGGGAAAGGATTGTGGCTCTCAACCCATTGTGCCGTGACCACGTTAATCAACACCTCCGCGTCAAATCCCCATGCCTCTCGTTTGGGAGAAAAGCGTCGCGGATTTTCCCAACGTGAAACAAAACTGCGTGGGCTGAAAAGTTAGAACAAAATCACTCGGGTCTTGGAGCACCATTCCCTTTTAGGGGAACAATGCATGTCAAGCATCTCCGCCAAGGCTGGGCGACACATCTGTAAATTAACGAGAATAATCCCTGGCTGCTATAAAAGTACATGTACCAAACATAACGGAAAACGCCTTAAATACCACACAGCTTTTTTTTAGTGCATTCGCAAAAACCATCAGCAATTAATGAAGAGGTGCACTGCGGTCCTCACTTTGCACTTGGGGAAATGCCGGTGTGTTTTTTTTGCGTCGCGCACAAAACCGCCGCGTTTTTTCCAACGACTCTGCGCCGTTTGAAACTCGAGGTTTGGGGAAGGAACGGCGAAGCGTTCAAAACGTGACCGAAGCGACACGCGGGGACACCGTTGGACGCAGCGGCCGTCTGGCACAGAAGGCAAAATGCACAGCACGCTGGTCGCGCGGCAACTGTTGAAGGACGGCACACAAACAGGCCCTTGTGATGACGCATCTCGGTTGTCCGACATCATTATTAGTGTGGGCAATGCCGTGCAGGATAGTGGGGCGGGTACGGTCACGGCATTGACCGCGTTCAAGCGTCGCTAAGCCATCGTGACCGGCACCGTGGCTCCACGCCAGAGCCAGTCGCTCGCATGCGGAAATCGCGAGTTCAAATCCTGATTGGGGGGGGGTTCACTCGACTCATCTCTCCGCTTCTTTGTGGGGATGTCATCAGTGGTTGTCCTATGGATAAATTCGTCCTCTGCCATAGGAATGTGAGATTTCAACCACGAGATAAAGTGCAGATGAGCACCAGAGCTTCGATGCTTATTTCACTTTGCTGTTAGTGTGCGTGACCATTAATTTTAAGTCTTTTTTTTACGAGACTTTAGACTTGAGAGACTCGCATCGAGGGTGCACCTCTACGGAAGCTGTGGGTGCACGGCCTGCGTCCTTCGGTCGTGACAACACCAGCTGCTAACGCGGCAGCACTTGCCGCTTGTGCAGAAATTACCGAGTGCGGAGGTGGGGGTCGAGTCAATGCGGCCGAGGCCCGCACAGAATCATCGACACAACAGCGAGCATTCGATTGTCTGGGTCGCTGGTGCTGCTGGCGATGACGCTGCTCGTGCTGTGGCGCGCATCACTTTCCGACGGTGAAGGACTGCAGGCCCGTGATGGCGCGGCCCAGGATGAGGGCGTGGATGTCGTGTGTTCCTGTTTGAAGCGCACGCACACACACACACGCACACAATGTTGACTGGTGTGTGTGGTGCGGTCCTGTGTACGGTGCCGTGTTGTACTGTACTACGGCTGCCACGCTGCGAGACCTTCGTAGGTGTTGACGGCCTCCAGGTTGAGGACGTGTCGGATGACGTGGTACTCGTCAGCAATGCCGTTGCCGCCCAGCATGTCCCGTGCTGTGCGGGCGATATCCAGCGACTTCCCACACGAGTTCCTCTTCAGCATCGAGATCATCTCTGGTGCCGCCCTGACACGACACAAGACAAAGATCCCCTCTATAACCTTAGACTGTTGGGGCAAGTGATGTTCACGAGTGCCTTTAAAGGCTGGCACAGCACACCAGGGGGTGGGTGACCAATACCACAGCCAAGGCAATGTTTACAAATCGCACCAGATACTAATTTGAGGCTGAATCGACCTAGGGGAGACCAAGGACTGGTTCAGATAATCGTCACTGGTGTTGGCCGTGAGCACGAATTGAATTGAACCCGGGTTCGCCCAGTTGGTAGCGCAGCACGCTAACCGCTATACGACCGCTCTCCAAAAAGTCGCACATACTCCAGTCACCCGCTCACAAGCGGTCAATGGCCTAATCGGCACTCTTTTATTGCTACTACCATGGTTACTGTTCCCACGAACTTCACTCATCGATTGCTCCACCCATGTTGAGGACTCGGGTCTACCAGACACTGCTTCGTCTGAGCCACAATGTGTTTGACGCCACCACACTGCCGGTCACAACACTGCCCTTTCTGCTTCTTCCCTCGCACTGCTCCACCCTGGAATTCCCTCCCACCGTCTCTTACCTGAAGCCATTACAATGAACAACCTCGCTCGATTCCAGAAACGCAACTAACTTATCCATTGCAACTTTGAAAGTGCCGTTTGTTGCTAGCCGCTTGGCATGAGCCTTTGCTCGGCAACTCAAACAAAATCATGCCACGTTTGCACTTGGGCACTTGCACACACGAACGCACAACACACCCGTGACGCGTGCGTGCGAGTGGGTACGGGTTGAGTGGGTACGGGTTGAGTGGGTACGGGTTGAGTGGGTACGGGTTGAGTGGGTGAGCCAGCGTCGACGCACAGGCCCTGGTCCTTGAGCCGCCCCAGCTGTACGCAGGCCTGCAGGCCCAGCGAGATCTCCGTGAGCATGTCGGCCAGCTTCTTCTGCACCAGCTGGTTCCTCGCCAGCGGCACGCCGAACTGCATGCTGCATGACGACATGGCGACACGGCGCTGAGAGTGCTCCCTGTGAGCAGCAGCGATCTTTCCGTAGACGAGAGTCACCGCCCAGGGTCGCCAGACCCGGGGTGGGTTCCTCTGTCTACACCGCGAATTTGACTGGAAGAAAGTTCAACGCAGCAGCAGCGGCGGTACCATAACTCTGCACATCAATTCCAGCAAACCCGAACACAGATGCCAAATTTGCCGGACTGCCCGGGCGAAACCGGGACAGGTGGTGCCCACTCACCGGTCCATCGTGTACTGCCGCGCCGTGTGGAAGCAGAACTCGGCGGCGCCCAGAGCCCCCCACGCGATCCCGAAGCGAGCGTTGTTGAGGCAGCCGAAGGGGCCCTGCGGGCAGGAGACGGTGTCTCTTTATCACGTCGCCCAACGATAGGTCACCCGACATCACCACTCGTAACTCGACATCACTGAACGTAACATCACTCAATTGCTGTCGCTTAACGTCGCCTTATGTCGGCTAACATAATTTAACATTACTTATGTTCCATCAAGAGTACTAAGCCACGAAGGAAGGTTTCCTTACATGAAACGCGTGCATTCCATTCTATATTCACATTCATGAAAAATCTGAAATTCTGTTGAACATAACGACCGTCTAAATGTGTTGAGGCACTGGATCTAGACGCTCGGTCTCTGCCCCATGAGCCTCCGTCCCTCTCCCGCGTGTTTGTTTGGCTCGGCTGCCTGCGGCCCCGTTCAATGGGACACTCACCGCGAGCCCCGACACGCCGGGCAAGAGGTTCTCGGCCGGGACCTCGACGTCCTCCATGACGATCATGCCGGTGACCGACGCTCGCAGGGAGAATTTGCCGTTGATTTTTGGCGCTGAGAGGCCCGCCATGCCACGTTCCAGCACGAAGCCTCTCACCCGCCCATCCTCTTGCGTCTTGGCCCAAACCACAAACACGTCGGCGATTGGCGAGTTGGTGATCCTGCGGTACGGCGTGGGTCAACCACGTCGCCATTCGTGAGTGTATCAAGTCATTCATTTGTCAAGTCGTTCAATCATAAAGTCATTTAAAACCAATATTAAGCATCGTGTCGCGTTGTGTTCGATTGATGTACAGGATAAGTGGACACAACTTGCATGAGAGGGGAGTAAAATTGACCGAGCCTCACTGACTGCAGTGATGCGTGATCCATCATTCGCACCACATTGCGCTCTTTAGCATGCGTCTGAGTCTATGGATCTCGAAGTGAGTTTAGGCCTCATTGTGAGTCTACGCGATCCTTATAGTGACTGCAGTGAAGTGTAATCCATCACTTCACTAACATCATCGACCATATCCCGATCACGCCCGCTTGTGCAGGAAATAACAAACGAAATCCGTACGGCGGCTCCAGACGCCATCTAATGGCTGCTCCAAACTCAGCGTGCGTGCGTGCGTGCAGCGCGTTAAGCAGCGGGGATGACCACGCGGCGTGTGCGGTGTGTGTGTCTACCCTCACCACGTCTTGGTGCCGGTGAGCGTGTAGGTGTTGCCGCTGGCGTTGTAGCGCGCCCGCGTCTCCATGCCACCCGGATCGCTGCCGTGATTCGGCTCCGTGAGACCGAAGCAACCGACGATCTCTCCCTTCGCTGCAACGGTCACGGACCATGGTCTATCAACTGCTGGATGAAGGCCTCCCCATCATCATCATCACGAGCTGTGAATTATCCACTGCTGCTTTTTTCTGCGTTTAGTTTGTTGCCCTCCGATTAGCACGGTTGGCTACGTGCGGTGCGAAAGAAGTGTCCACATACGAGTCGCGGTCTATCCATGCCCAAAGCTCGGTGGCCCGGACCAGTGCTAAAAGGATAAGGTTTGCAAATTGCAAACGTGTTATACCCTGACAGCTGACGAGAGAGCAGCCCAGAACATGACCTGATGTCCCAAACCATCCCCACTTAAAAGCAACACGCACCCCATCTCACACCAAACATGATTGCCATCAGAAAATGATGGTTGCGAAGACTGCACTCATGTCCGAGAGAGTTTAAACGGCCAGATTACCGCAGCAACCGGCGTTTTTAAATGTGTTTACGCTTGTGCTCTGAACATAGCTAAAAACGGCAATATCCAACGAACAAGCCAAATTAAGTATTGATGCTCATCTGCTGGCGTCCGCACAGAACCGGCCAAATCGATGCAAGGGCCGCTATCGACGGGGTCGCCGTAACATCTCACCTAGCCGCGGCAGGTACTTGAGGCGCTGCTGCTCGGAGCCGTAAGCGTGGATGGGGTGCATGACGAGGGAGGACTGCACGCTCATCACGGAGCGGTAGCCGCTGTCCACCCGCTCCACCTCCCGCGCGATCAGCCCGTACGCCACGGACGAGACGCCCGCACAGCCGTAGCCTGCGGCGCACGGGGAGATGCATGGGGACACGGGGAGACGCACGTGGAGACGCATTGGGACACAAAGGGGGACCTGGGAAGATGCACAGGGGCCCACGCGGGGAGATGTATGGGGACATGGGGAGATGCACAGGGACACAGGGAGACACATCAGGACTTACAGGGATGCAAGGGAGATACAGAGGGACACACGAAGACACGGAGATGTGGAGACAAGGACGGTGAGTCATAGGGACACGGGTACAAGAGGATGTGAGGACAGGAGAGCAGGGGACATGGGAATTCAGGGACACAGACCCACATGAACACAGGGATGTGGGGATATAGAGACGTGTAAACGGATGTGTGAACAAGGGGAATGGAGATGCAGGAATCGAGGGGGCATGGGGATAAGGGGATGTGGAGACACGAGGGCCCAGGGACACAAATGAGAACATGGAGGCGCAGAGAGCAGGGACACGGGGTGCAGACGCTCGCACGTGCGCTGGTTATTGGTTGGTATGAATTCTCTACGCTTGCTGTGCGTGGTTGGGCTCATCGCCCCGTTTGTGCACTCGCTGTGTAAACCCTGCACGCACCTTTGATCGTTGGGCCCAGCACTCCCATCTCACCCATTTCTGACACGATCTCCCGGTCGAACACTGCAGATGCATAACCACAATAAATATGCAAACATACACGAACACATTCTAGAAACGAGCACGAACACATTCTAGACACTCATATCGATCACAACTTTCACAGTGCCGTTTCTTGCTGGCCGCTTCATGTGCTGCCCGTGTCACACAGCACGTGTCACGCAGCAGTTGTGACGCAGCACGTTTCGCCGGGGGCACCTTCGTTGCGGTTGGCCATGAGCACGCGCGGCATGAGCTTGTCCTGGCAGTAGGTGCGGAACGAATCTCGGATCATCACCTCCTCCTCCGTCAGCAGCGACTCCATGCACAGCCCGTCGCGCCAGCTGAACACTGGGGCCGAGTCTACACACACACACGAAGACAGCCTTAACAAACTGTTGGGGCAAGTGCTGTTAGCGAGTAGCACCTATGAAGCCCTGAACGGCACATGAGGGGGAGGGTGGCCAGCACCAAGCCCGGCTACCTTTGTCTCTATAGTGGCAATGATTACACACGGCACTAGGTATCCATCTGAAGCCGAGTCAACCTAGGGGAGGCCCAGGACCGGTTCTGATGATCATCACCCGTGAGCGGAAATCTATCTCGGGTCGCGTCAGGTTCGTAACGCAGTGCGCTAATCGTGGCACGACCGCTCGCCACGCACACATGCGCACAGACATGCATTGCAGTGGCGCTCCCAGTTCCTGCCTCTGTATTTGACAGAATTCAATGTAGGGCAGTCGGGGTGATTTGATGACCCAGCACTCACTCATTCACTCCGGTCACTTGCTCACCAAACTCGTGAGATGTATCATGTCCTCACCTTTGGCCTTGCCTTGCCCTGCCTTCCCATCCTCTGATTTTCCTAGGTCAAAAGTTTAGAGAAATTACAATCATGTGCGGCTTCAAGGTTACGCAACTGGCCACATCGTTAATGTATTGTTTCGCTTGTTACCCAGGAAAGCCGCACCGACTCAAGAGTATTTATTTTCTCGTGTTTTTCCAGCAGGGAGCAATCGCCGCTCTGCGTTTCCCAATCGCGGTGCGATGTTTCCCATTTAACAAATGTGGACCGTGACCCCTGGCACACCATGGCCTCCACTCTCCTTCCTCGTGGTGTCACGGGACTTTTAACGTCCACTGCGAGTGAAGCAGACGGCCAGCAGTTTTCTTTTTTACAGTAAATATGCACACCGCAGTGATAACCAGGGCGGCCGCTGGATTTGGACCGCTGGGCCATGACAAAGTCATCACCTGGCAACGCGTTTAAAAATACGCTGTTAAGTAACGGCACCGTTTATTCTTGGCAGCAAGGTTACCGAGTGGATGCTGTGATGATGTTGGATGATGATGACCCGTTGAGATGGATCACTTTGTTCGTTATGCCATGATTGTGATGATGATGCTAATAGGGGTCAGCGATGGTAGGATGATGGTGACTTTGAATAATTAAGATTATCACCAAGGATGAATGACCGCGACATTGGACAATAATGTTGAACATGATTATGACGATAGAGGTGATGATTGTGATCCCCTCTTCGCATACCCTGAGTAGCTGTAGCGGATGCTGTGCCGTATCTCCTGGTCACTCTTCTCAGCAGCTGCCCCAACAGCGCTGGAGCTCTAGCCTGGTATGCGAGCATGACTGCACACGCAGGAGGCACCACCGTCACCACCACCATCAAAATCGCCACCATCACACCTCCATCAACCACCATCACCACTTCCATCATCAAAACTACCACTATTACATCATCCATCACCACCATCATCAACATCAAAACCACCATCACCACCTCCATCATCATCAAAACCACGACTATTACCACCTCCATCATCACCACCGTAAGGTGCTTCTCATGCTCAGCCGTGATATGTCCCACTGCTGTTAAGCTGTCAACATTTCTCCCGCTCCCCAACAGTCCACATCCGTCTCAACTCGCACACACGAGCGGATTCCATCGCTCCGTCTCCACCACGGGTGTCCTTTCGGGGGGTGTGCTCCCTCTGTTGGTTGCCGTCTGCACCACCGGCCAGCAACTCCGAGACGGCAGCGGCGCGTCCTGGCGTGCCCAAGCCCGGCTAATTGCACACTCACTGCTCCTGGAAACATCTCGATACCCACTGCGTCCCTTCTCGTCCACGCGCCCCGGGGTTATAGAAGCGGCACCCAGAGGCGATGCCACCCCCAGCCAGCCATTGCAGATACCGCAGCAGCACGCGTGTGTGAAAGGTGATGGTGGTGATGGTGAGGACGGCGATTATGTGGGTAATGAGTAACGAGTGGCACGATGGATGGAGGTGATGTTAATGACGGTGCTGATGTTGAGGATGGCGATGTTGGTGGCTGATGTTGGTCATGCCAGAGTGATGACGATGTTGACGATGTTGCCGATGCCAGAGTGATGATGATGATGGTGGTGGCTGATGTTGATGATGCCAGAATGATGATGATGTTGAAGCCAGAGTGACGAAAACGACGATGGCCGGTGTTGATGATGCCCGCGTGATGATGATGTTGGTGGCTGATGTTGGTGATGCCCGCGTGATGGTTATGATGATGTTGAGGGGGTTATGATGACGCCCAAGACGTGACGGGAGCGCACTTCACCTGTCCTTGACTCTTTGTCACTTTCACGGCAACTCGTGCGAACACTCCACCACCGTGGGAGCCGCTCCAACCAATCACCACGCACAGCAGCAGCAGCAGCTGCTGGATCGCTCTCTGAGGGGGTGGGGTGGGGGTGCTGATCGTGAGTCCGTGACCCCAGCAGCTTCTCGACAACCTCGCCTAGGGAGACAATCTCGACCCCCCCCCGCTTCCCCTCACCTCTTCACGACACGAACCTCGTCTGTGGAGACAACCTCGACTCACCTCTTCACGACACGAACATCATCTGTGGACACAACCTCGTCTGTGGAGACGACTTCGACTCACCTCTTCACGACACGAAACTCGTCTGTGGAGACAACTTCGACTCACCTCTTCACGACACGAACCTCGTCTGTGGAGACAACTTCGACTCACCTCTTCACGACACGAACCTCGTCTGTGGAGACAACCTCGACTCACCTCTTCACGATACGAACCTCGTCTGTGGAGACAACCTCGACTCACCTCTTCACGACACGAACCTCGTCTGTGGAGACAACCTCAACTCACCTCTTCACGACACGAACCTCGTCTGTGGAGACAACCTCGACTCACCTCTTCACGACACGAACCTCGTCTGTGGAGACAACCTCGACTCACCTCTTCACGACACGAACCTCGTCTTTGGAGACAACCTCCACTCACCTCTTCATGACACGAACCTCGTCTTTGGAGACAACCTCCACTCACCTCTTCACGACACGAAACTCGTCTGTGGAGACAACCTCGACTCACCTCTTCACGACACGAACCTCGTCTGTGGAGACAACCTCGACTCACCTCTTCACGACACGAACCTCGTCTGTGGAGACAACCTCGACTCACCTCTTCACGACACGAACCTCGTCTGTGGAGACAACCTCGACTCACCTCTTCACGACACGAACCTCGTCTTTGGAGACAACCTCCACTCACCTCTTCATGACACGAACCTCGTCTTTGGAGACAACCTCCACTCACCTCTTCACGACACGAACCTCGTCTGTGGAGACAACCTCCACTCACCTCTTCATGACACGAACCTCGTCTTTGGAGACAACCTCCACTCACCTCTTCACGACACGAACCTCGTCTGTGGAGACAACCTCGACTCACCTCTTCACGACACGAACCTCGTCTTTGGAGACAACCTCCACTCACCTCTTCATGACACGAACCTCGTCTTTGGAGACAACCTCCACTCACCTCTTCACGACACGAACCTCGTCTGTGGAGACAACCTCCACTCACCTCTTCATGACACGAACCTCGTCTTTGGAGACAACTTCCACTCACCTCTTCACGACACGAACCTCGTCTGTGGAGACAACCTCGACTCACCTCTTCACGACACGAACCTCGTCTTTGGAGACAACCTCCACTCACCTCTTCATGACACGAACCTCGTCTTTGGAGACAACCTCCACTCACCTCTTCACGACACGAACCTCGTCTGTGGAGACAACCTCGACTCACCTCTTCACGACACGGGCACCTGCGGAGCTGGTGGCGCTGTTCGTGACAAGGGAATGGTTCTCTCCTGCGGGGCCTCCTTTACATTACCTACAACGGATACGCGGCGGCTCCTCCGTCCCTGCGGTACCGAGGGGGCCTGCCGATGCGCGCTGGGAAATTCGAACGGCGCCTCCTCCTGCGTGCTGATTGGTCGGGGCGGGGGGTGTGGGCGAGGGGCGATGGGCCGGACGATACCAACTCGATGGCGCGTGATTTCCCCCCCCCTCCCCTCTCTATAGTGGTACGGTCCTAGGCGAACAGTACACAACGTAGTAACTCAGATTGTAAATGACTTAAAACTTTTCGTGACTGCAGGAATTCATATTTTTGGGGTCTTTCGGTAAAGTCACGTAGATAGATTTCACCTGGAATGGAACTTTCTACAAACAGACTGATGGCACCCCAATGGGCTCCCCCCTATCTCCAGTTGTAGCCAACGTGTTCATGGAAAAATTTGAAACTGACGCCATCCAGACTGCCACTCTACGCCCGACCTTATGGAAGAGATACGTGGATGCCACTTTTGTTATCTGGCCACATGGCTTACCTGCTCTAGACCAATTCCTCGACCACATCAACTCCATACACCCAGCCATCAGATTTACCATGGAGGTCTAAAAAGAAGGCAAGCTACCCTTTTTGGATGTCTTAATTAAAAGGAGACCTGATGGTTCAATGAGCCACTCTGTTTACAGGAAAGCTACCCATACGGATGCTTACTTAAAACCGGATTCCCACCACCATCCATCCCAGAAGAACTCCCTCATCAAGACTCTATACCATAGAGCCCAATGCATTTCCGACCAGGATTACATTGCCAGTGAACTCAAACACGTACACCAAGCTCTCAAGGCTAATGGTTACTCCGACTACACAATCCGCAAAGCCATCACTCCAGTCATGAAGAAGGATCCCCTTGAGGAACCATTCAAAACCATCACCTTACCCTACATTGCGGGGGTCACAAAAAAGATCTCCAAAATCCAGAACAAACACAAGATCCAGGTCCGATTCAACACAGTACATAAAATCCGTGATCTGGTTACATCTGTAAAAGATGCTGTTCCAGATATACAGTACCCGGGCGTTTACAAACTAAAGTGCCTCTGTGGTAGCAGCTACATTGGAGAAACCAAACGACATATCTTGGACCGCATCTGCGAACATAAAGCAGACTTGAAACACGGTAGGACGAACTCCTCTGCCGTGGCAGATCACTGTTATAATTCAGTGGGCTCACATGACATTGACTTCTCCAAGACGGAGGTTCTTTGCAAGCCAACCGGCTACCATGAGAGATTCGTTCACGAGGCCATCCGCATATACAAGCACAGAGACAATTTCAACCGAGATGGATTCTGGCTTAGTAACCATTGGAAAGATGTTTTAAACCGTTTCGGTTCCTAAATAATTGTATTTTACGGTGACCTTCAGACCGCAGCCCTTTCAATGGCATTGCCTCTTAATACCTCTCACACCACGGTTAATGGTATATAACATGAGTATATATAGTTGGATTCATAGAATAAGACGTAGTATAATGTTACAATGTCTAATATTTTATAGTCTAAAGTATAGGGTAGTGTAAAGTAACGCATTGTATAATTCAAAGGTGGAATTTGTCTATGTTATACCATGTAGTTTAGATTGGAGGGTATACTATTGTATTACATAGTAGTCCTGTTTATAGCATAGTCATAATGCAACTCAGTACACAGCAGCGCACCTTGGCTGCAGGCACTTGTGTACCTTTTTAAATTGTTGTTTGTTTCCTACCAGCACCCCTCCCTCCTCCGCCCCCGAGGTGGGGGCTGGTAACATGCTGATCCAACTCTGCTAATCCAACTCCGCCCATACAGCTTTAAAAAAGACTCGGTCCTTGCGTGACAGCGTCCATTCAAGCTCTGTCTCCTGGATAGACCTGTTTCTTCACCTGAAGAAGGCCACTTGTGTTGTGACCGAAACGTCGTGAGAATTGTATTGTCTTATTTTGTTTTATTGTTTTATTCTCATTCTACGTGACTTTACCGGAAGAACCAAGAAGATCACGTAGATAGGTTCAAAGAAAATATCAGATTGTAAATGTTGTGGGCACGTTCTGTTTACGTGACAAACCTCACTAATTGGCTGTGTCGGGTGGTGGCGGGTTTAACGACACATTTACGCGATCTAAACCCCGCAAAAAACCTGCATTATGGAATTGCACATTGTTTAACTAATCCAGCAGTGAAATGGTCCTGGTAGATGATGCTGCTGCTGCTGCTGCTACAACACAAACTTCTGACAGCTCACCAGCATTGGTGCAAGCAAGCGTGGCTCTGCTTGTGAGACACACTGAGTGTTGAAACCGATTCAGAGTGTTACACTTAGCAAATGCTGCTAAAATAATGCAGTTTCTATAAGGCGGTGTGACTGATGGAATGTGTCAAATTACATTCGTGTGTCGAGGGGACAGACGCGTGGAGTCGTGTTGCCTGTCTTTAAAACATAATAATAAACGTTTCGTAGAGTCGGACTTTTGAGACCTCCACCAACTCTGCCTTCAGCCATGTGTGCTCTGATGGTCCATCGCCTGAAACGTCGCCTATTACAGGGTTCCCCTAAGCTTCATGCGGCAGATGCGTGCCGAGTAGCGCACACAGAGTAGGCACGACGTTCTTCCACGTCCCACCGCATTAGCCGCATATAGCGAATTCTGGGTCAAAATAAGTTGGGCGCATAAAGCGAGGGAGACCTGTGTATAGAGTACTGGGGATGGTTGAGTTGTATTTGTTTAACACGTAGTAGGAGTAGTAGGATTTCGCGACCAATATCATCCATAATATCGGTTTTTGTGAGTTAAATCGCTTAAATATAAATGTGTCTTTAGACCCGCCACCACCCGACACAGACAATTAGTAAGGTTTAAATCTTGACTTAAAGCTTTCGTGACTGCAGGAATTCATACTCTTTGGGTCTTTCGGTAAAGTCACGTAGATAGAAAAAGAATAAATAATCTTAGTAAATCAAAATTTAAGCTTTAAATCAAAATCTTTGTAAGGTTTGTCACGTAAACAGAACGTGCCAATTCGTTACTAGTACAGCACACCGGTGTGTTGGAGAGCAAATCCACAACAATTACAATCTGAGTACGACGTTTCGCCAGTAATTACAACTAGCTTCATCAGGCGACAGCCTATATTATGGATGAGTTGTATTTATGTGTTTAGGTGATTTAAAAACATATTTTTTGCACTTTGTACTGCTATCGTATTCTTATTTTGTTTGCTGTTGTAACGTTCTTACCCTATGCCCCTACTGGACACCTGTAAAAAAGAGCTTTATAGCTCATCGGATTCCTCCAGTATAAATAAATATTCCGACCTGATCCGATATTCCGTACATGCAGCAGTTTTATTTTTCTTTCGTCACGCGAACGTACTGCGCACGTGTGCGACCTGGTAAGTCCACTTCCCCCCCTACCCCTGCACGTGTGCGACCTGGTAGAGTCCACTTCCCCCACTACCCCTGCACGTGTGCGACCTGGTAGAGTCCACTTCCCCACCACCCCCCCCCCCATACGACTGCACGTGCGCGACTTGGTAGAGTCCACTTCCTCCCTACCCCTGCACGTGCGCGACCTGGTAGAGTCTACTCCCCCCCTCCCCTACAACTGCACGCGTGCGACGTGGTAGAGTCCATTTCCCCCCTATCCCGGGGGGAGCGGGGGGGGGCGTGTGGGGCGGTCTGTCCGCACTTGGTTTCGTCCTGACCCCCCCCACCACCCCGAAAGCGGAACCCGCGAAACGAGGCGGCGGAACTTCCCAAGCGCGGCGCCTTTCGCTTTAAATGACAGCGGCGTCACGGCGGCCGTAAGTGGACCCCCTCGCACGGCCAGACCGCGGCTACAACGCGTCCCGCGGCCTTCATCCAACCCCTGGGCTGTCCCTCCCCACGACCGCCGCGGCTGCCGTGCGAGGTTCGTGGTTCCGGGGAGCGAGCCGCGTAGAGGGGCGGGCGGAGTCCTCCAGGTGAGGCCTAGTGCCCGAAGGATGGTTCGGTCATTCGCGCGTAACCCACCTCGCACGGGCGTCCACGTCTGTGATGTTCGTTCGTTCGTTTGGTCGACCGGCGCCCGTGTGGATGTGTATCTTTATTAACCGGTGTGTGCGCGTTTGTTGTGTGCGTACGCGCGCGGTGTCAGATAATGGCGAGCGACGCGCCGTGGCGGTACAGTAAACCGGGTACATCCATCATCGTCGTATTTCTGGGTGGGTAAAATGAGTAGGGTACTATAAAAAATGTTTCAAAAGTCAGGAGTTGTTAGTCCCGTAATGAGCATCTTAGTAGGTGACAGAACGCCCTGTGCCCCGTGCAAGGCAAGTGTGTCAATCCACTGCTGGATGAGGACTCGGGGAGTTGTTTGATAATACTTCACCACGCTGGTCAGTGCGGGTTGGTGAAGGCAGAGGAACATATATGTGGGAGCTACATACGTGTGGGAGCTACATACGTGTGGGAGCTACATACGTGTGGGAGCTACATACGTGTGGGAGCTACATACGTGTGGGAGCTACATACGTGTGGGAGCTACATACGTGTGGGAGCTACATACGTGTGGGAGCTACATACGTGTGGGAGCTACATAGACGTACAGGACAATGTTCTACACAGCCCTCTGCATATCGTATTCATAATCACGCGATGCCTGTTGATGAACCGATATGCGCGCGCGCGTGTGTGTGGCTGAAGGCAGGGTTGGTGGATCACGCAGATCACCGTGAGCTGTGAGGCTGCGAGGTGGCCAGAAGGGGGCAGTGGCAGCAATTGCGTCCGTGAACACCGACAGATGTTGGTGGGTTTCCTCCGGGTTCTACAGCGTTCATCAGCAATACATATTGAGGATAAAAACACTTAGCAGTTGAGGATCCTTGTGGGAGAGTTCTGAGAAGCGGCGAAACTTCCCCGGGTCAACGCCGTGGTTATAATCGTCCCGCAAGTCGTCATTCAATTCAGGGGGATTCCAGTGGAAGCGCATGAATGCCAAACAAAATGCATCACTCAAAGTGGAAAAAAAGTGGTTATATTAATGGTGAGACTTTTTTTTATAAGGGCACTACTCCATGGAGATGTTTGGCCATGAATTCCGTTCATGAGAGTTTGGCTTCATGTAGGTGAAGACCAATCGTACTGTAATGGAAGGAAAGCCCCAACACAGCTCCCTCAAAAGCCGGGTCCAGTCAGCCAATTTACTGTACTGCCACCCTCTGGCCAGCAAGCAAAACCGACCGGTCAGTTTCTTCAATTCTCGTTCGCTTGAATAAACATGGCCTATTCGAGTGAAAAGGCAACGCAGCAACCCCCCCCCCCCCCCCCCCACGTGAGAGAGGAGGATGAGGGGGAGGCGAAGGACACTAACTGGCAGGGTTCCAGTGGTCACTCGGCCTCGTAAAGGAACCCAGGATGTGGGGGCCCAGCGTAAAAGCCATTGTGTTGCCATCTGGGGTCCTGTACCCTGCTACAATCGCCAAGGCAGGTGGGGGCTCGCAAGTTACGTAATTTATGTCCTAATTCGGAACTCTGTGATTTAGTAAGAGTGGCTTGAGAGTGAACCACCACCCACCTTCCTTGTGTCCCATCGAAGCGCTGCTCTTTGTAACCGCTATGAAGCCCTGTAAGCCACCCTGTGGGGCTGAATACCTTTTACAACCCAGTGTTCGATCCACTGCTGGATCGAGGTCTCCTCTCCACTTTGTGATGCACATGGTGGGAGCCGTTTGACCCAAACGTTGTTCTGCTGGTCGGTGCGGATTGGTGAAGGGGCTGGAGCCCAGGACAGGTTCAGACATCGCTCGCCACCCATGTTGGTGCCCCCCGCTCTTGTAAATACATTGAGCAATTTAGCTTTTTTTTGTCGTCCGGGATTCGTATTTATCTGTTAAAAGCTTCACCGAGTCTCTATGATTTTCAGTAGGGCCCTGCTGCTGTATTGCAATGTTTGGCTAGTGTGTGTGTGTGGCAACGCCATCACCCGCTGTTTCTCGTAATTATTTTTTTTGCGAACAATTATCGACAACAACTTTAAAAAAAAATTACGACCCAAATCACAATTTGCGCGACCGCCACCACCAACACCGCACCCAGTTTCCGCTGAGCGCGTTTGCGACCGGGCATTCTTATTTTTGGTCGCCCGATGCTGGCGAGCGATTAAGCCCAGCATGTGATTTGCGGATGAGGCTTAACTGGATTGTTTCTGCAAGAAGAGGGCTCAGGCAGGTTAGGACTGGCGCTTATCAGAGTGCCCACCCCTGACGATGACCCAGTTCCAACAAAGGCAGTATTGTCTGATGGGTGAACTCGAATTTTAAAAGATAAAGTTTTAACTCTTGCTCAGCACAGACCCAAAGGCCCCAAAAACGTCAAGCGGCCAGCATCAAGCAGCACTGTGAAAGTCGTAATCGATAGTCTAACAAGTTACTTGAATTGAGCAGGGTTATTATTTTTATTGTTATACAAGCTTGGGAAAAGAGACGATTGGAGGGGATTTCAAATTGGCGCAGTGTGAGGAAAGATGCAAAAAGAGAAGCGTTGTGATCTGCAGTGCGGTGGTGAGGAGTGGATGGATGAGTGAGTTGGTGAGTGGGTGAGAATGGGTGTGTTGTTGTTGTTGGTTGTGTATGTATTTATGGTCCTGGAGGAACCCCTCGAAGTGCACCTGGCCTGGCACAGGCGCCGTGGCGACGTCACCGTCACTTTGTGGCGAATGGCGGCTATTGGTATTTATGTTGGACTTCTTTCGCACCGTGCGTAGCCAACCGTGCTAATCGGAGGTGTGGGTGGGTGGGGGGACGATGAACGCAAAAAAAAGCAGTTGTAAAGAAATTATTTTTCAATTTCGAAAAGTTTCAACCAAAAAGGAAACGAGTTGCGGCCTGCAGGGTGGTGATTGACCGCGATGGATGAGATTGCCGACCGAATCGTGAACATGCGAGGAGGCGTCGGTGACCGAGGTTCATAGCTGTCCGAATAAGGAAGTGCATGAGAGCGCGGCCCTTCATCGCTGCAAAAAAGATGTAATAACAAAAAATGCCCTTTTCATCCAGGAAAACCTCATTGAGTCTCAAGACTGTTCAGAAGGGTCCTGCTGTATTCGGGATGTTTGGCTAATTCGTTCTTAAATCAGGGTTTTGCTTCAAGTGGGAGGAAACTTGGAGAACCAGGAGGAACCCCACATATGCGAGGAGATCATCATGCTCACTCTAAAACTTTAAACTTTTTATATTTTACCAGGGAAGGCCCATTGAGCTATGTCGCTTTTTTTCAGAAGTGACCTGGCAACAAATGATAGCTCAACGAAGTTGCTTATGTCGAAATTTATAGCAGCCCAATGCTCTTAACGTCGCCGATTCTAAAGGTGGAGGGGAAAACTGGAGGACCCGGAGAAAAATCCACGCGACCACGGGGAGAACACCCAAACTCCAAATATACAGGCGTCGGGGTTGGCATTGAATCCACGACCTCCTGTATACCAGGCGAGGTAGTTAACATTTCACCACCACAGCGTCCCTTGTTCAGCTCACTGACCTACTTGCTGTCCTGTCATCTAGAAGAGAGTGGGGGGCGTCTCATACTCAGAATAAAAATGTGTTTTCTATCCACAAACTCGAGATTACAGGCGCCCACCACCACGCCCATAACTTCCCCTGTGTTTATCTTTAGATGCAGTGTGTACTTGTAGCTAATGTCCCATGCTAATCGGTGGCGCCAGCAACAGAAATGTTTATTTTGCTGATTGGCAACGTTTTTTGTAATCGGCAGTTTCATTCAATCCGCTAAACCCTTAACTTAAAACGAAAGCCCATTGTGACCAAAAGTGTAATTTTTCACAGAATAGCTTGTTCATCGAGAAATTCTACAGTGATAATATACAGCCTTTTTATACATTTATGTATTTTAAACTTACAAACAAGAGTATTCTAAATTTCCTGAAATGTGTTTTGGCCAAGATTCCAATTTGCTTGCATTTGCTCTAATTTACACTTTGCTTCCTTTATCGTGACTGTCTTTTCTTGCTGTTGGTCTTGTCAGTGTAGAGACCCAGGTGCGGTCGCTCTTGCAAGCGAGTCTCGCGCTCGTCACAAGTTCTCGCTTGGGTAAAACAATTTGACGCGTGAACTTCTACTGCAGATCGGCCCCTACGCAGCTATCCCACGCACGCGTTTGCCGAGCGCCAGGCCTGGCTGCACTTGGCTGCGGTAGCAGGGACAGTCGCCATGTGGCTGCCAGGACCCCCACCCACCAACACTGCTGCGTGCTGTGAGCCGGAGTGTTGTGAGCCGGAGCTGCCCCTCGTTACGCAAGCGGCTGCCGTAAATTCTGGACGCCGGTAAATTCACGTCCCAGTGTGACTGTACTGGCGCGGTGAGCAGTGGGGGCCGGTCGTGGTGAGACGGAGGGGGGGTGGCGTGATATGGCGTGATGCATAGTACAGGCATGCACGCCTTTCTATAAACATGCAAATAAAGACAGAAGCATGCACACACCTCCATACATACCCGTATAGACATACACACACCTCCGTACATACCTAGATACAACAAGAACAACCACCATTCGCCACCAAGTGGCGGTGACGTCACTACGGCGCTTGTGCCAGGCTATGTGCACGTTGAGGCCACGTGAAGTGTCGAACGCCCGCTGGCAGGAGGTCACGGGGCAGGCCCAGGTGCCACGGGTCGACCTGAGATGACTGGTCGATACACAACTTGTGCTCCCTACTGTGCCAACGTGCTGTGCTTTAGCCACCCAGCGCTCCGCTCGTTGTTGCGAGCGTCGTTCCTCTGCCCTCCGTTGTTGTTGGGAGGTGACTGCCTCCAACTACCCAGTAGCGTCCTTCATGAGCCTCCTCCACAGAGGCCGATCTTGATATGGCTGGTACCAGTCATTGTTGGAGGGTGACTGCCTCCAACTGCCCAGGAGCGTTCTTCACGAGCCTCCTCCACAGAGGCCGATCTTGATATGGCTGGTACCAGTCATCGGCAAGTCCATTCAGCTCCACATCCTCTTATACCACATCACTCCATCTCTTCTCTAGCCCGTGTTGTGCCCGTTTAGCCCCCTCTATCCGGCCGAAAAAAAGCTGTTAAGGCATGCGGTGGCTGGATATGCGGGCTACGTGACCCAGCCAGCGCAGCATTGCCTGCCGGAGGAGCTCACCGATGGGACTTTGTCCAGATCTTTCAAGGATTTGTGAGCTCTTCACTCAATCCAGCCTGGTTAAACCCAGGATGGATCGTAGGCAGGCCAGCCTGAATGTTTCTAACCGACGAAGATGTTCGATTAGGGGGTCCATGTTTTGCAAGCGTAGAGAAGGGCATGACATGAAGCTTTGTGGAGCGACAGACCAGGTAGCTTCCCCACAGCGTTACGCAACCGATGAAAAAATAAGGCCGCTCGACTGATTCAGAGTGAGACCTCTGCTGTCAAACCGGAGCCGGTCATGAGCACACTGCCCAGGTATGGGAAACTCTCCACTCTCTCCACAACTGCCCCATCACCAATTGGGAGTTGTGGGGGTGGAGTGTCTGATGGTACAAAATCCCCAAGCAGGTGCTGAGTTTTGGTGGGGCTGATGGTAAGGTCCCACCTCTTAGTGGCACGCTCCAGTCTCAGCAGCAGCGTCTCCAACTCCTCCTCTGAGTGAGCTGCAATTACCAAATCATCGGCATACATAACATGTTAACCAATAGGGAGCCATCCCTTGACCACACCCGGGCATCGATCAGCCTCCCATTGTATTCGTACCAGATGGAAATTCCGCCGGTACAGCTACTGAAGGCTTCACGAACTACGTGGTCAAAATAGATATTAAATAATTTGGGAGCCAGAGGACATATTCTAGATGTAAAGCTTTCGTGACTACTAGGATCCATACTCTTTGGTTCTATTGGGTAAAGTTACGTAGGTGAAAATAAAATAACAAAAAATCACGACGTTTCGGCCACAACACAAGCGGCCTTCATCAGAGGACATCCCTGTCGCACCCCAAGGTGAACAGGGAATGGCTCTGACTCCCGGCCACGTAGTTTTACCTGGGCCCGCTCACCATCATGAAGGTCCTTAATAATCGTGAGCAGAAAGTCAGGGACTCCGAAAAATAAATATACCTCCATACATACCGGTATAGACACACACACACATACCTCCAAACATACCGACATAGAGATGCACACACCTCCATACAAAGACAAAGATCCCCCGTATGGACTTAATATACGTTTGGGGCAAGTGCTGTTAGCGTACACCTGTGAAGTGATACGGCACACTAGGGGTGGGGGTGGCCATCACTCCAGCCAAGCCGCCTTTGTCTCCGCAGTGGCAATGGTTACACACCACACCAGGTACTCATCTGAGGCTGAGTCGACAAACGGGAGGCCATGAGCGGGAATCGAACTTGTGTCGCCAGGTTCGTAGCACAGTGCGCTAACCACTACATTACCGCTCCTCATACATAGACATACACACAACAAAGCAGACACCCATCTGCATACAAAGCCCATACACACATCTCTATGACACACACATGGTAAAACTATAACACACACCCCTATACAATGAAAAGAGCAACCGCTGGCGGTGACATTACCACAGCACTTGTGCCAGGCTAGGTGCACTTGAGGCCATGTGAAGTGTCGGAAGGCTTGCTGGCAGGAGGTCATGGGGCAGGCCCCGGTGTTATGAGTCGACTGACTGAGATGACTGGCAGATGCACCACTTGGGCCCACAACCTCGTCATTTTAGCTGACAGACTGCCTCCTTCACACAGACGTTCTCGCACGTACCCCCACACGAACACACACACCCCAAGCACACCGCATACTCGTATTCCTGCAACACATGCACATACGCAAGTAATCCACACGTGCCCCGTGCAGTGAATACCTCCACACTTCAAAACACGCAATTCAATGCATGCCCCCTATCATACACGCTCGTATACACAACTGCACACACTGGCGTGAACACGCCCACCCACACACACCCCCACGCACGTCACAGCACATCTGCTGGTGTTTACCGTTCTCTCTCTGCCCCCTGTCAGTGCTGGCCCGTGCGTGCTGTGGGAGAGTGGGGAGAGTGATCACTCCCACACGTTGCCGTGGGCTCAAACTCGCTGAAACTTACACGGAGGCCTTATTTGTTAGAAACACTGTGCTGCCGCAAGGGGGCAGGGCGTTGGGGGCGGGGGGGAACTTGCAGTGTCGCGTTTGTTGTTGCCAGAGCGGCGAGCACAGCGAGTGGGTTAATTTCCATCTGTAAGCGGAATGGAGCGTTACCCCCATCCGACCCCCCCCCCCCCCCGGCATGCATAGGCTTTCTCAGGTTCAGTTTCCTACCCACGTGCAGAACCACATAGTTACGTGATGACCTTTTAACACGGTGATTGGAGACCATCAACGCGCTGCACTTTCGGATCCCTGCTTATAAATCGCGGCTCGCTCCGTGCGTGTCCGCGAGCCTCCATGCGTTTGGGCTTCTCTGTGCGAGTCCGTCGGTGTCTATGTACGACTGGACATCTGTAAAAAAAAAGAGCTTCGTAGCTTATCGGATTCTGGTGTAAATCTATGGATCTCAATGTCAGTCGGACCGTTACTGGGCAGAGACCATTAAGCCGCTCACACCTGGGGGCCGGTTTACTCGCAGCGACCAAAAATCCTGGCTTCAAATCCAGGTTGCCTCGGTGGCGCTGGCTCGGCGCTCTGACCTTCGAGCCACCCTGGCCTCCTCCCGCCTTCGCCCGCTGGCTTGTTAGCGCGAGCAAGCGTCGCTCCGCTTGTGGCGAGCTCGGAACTCTTGAGGCGGCACGGCCGCTGTTTTTGTGGAGCAGCTGCGAGTGCATCCACAAGGGGGGGGTGGGGGGTGGCCTTGGCTCCTGCGTTTTGTTTTTTGGCCCGTGGTTTTTTTCCACGGGGCAACTGCATTTCCTAATGGCGGGGGGCCCTTTCACAATATGCCCGTTGCGAGTGTTTTTCGCGATTCTTGATGCGAGTGTTTTTTCGCGATCGCGTGTCGGATAAGGGAGGAGGAGGCCGCCCCTCTCTCTATCTCTGCTATCGTAGAGCGAGTGCTGAGAAGTAGCCGTGTCGCTCAGGGGTATTTGTAATGGCTGACAGTGAGCAACGAGGCCATACCCGTCTCCTGTTTACAGCCCCCCCTGGGTCAGTTGGTGGAAGTTCCACGCTCCTATGGCAGGGGAAGTATGTCCATTGCACAATCACTGTTGGTTTCACAAATGTTGCTCGCTCGTCTCATCAACCCTGTAGGGGGGATGATGGTTTAATTCACACCCCCCCACACCAGGAATTGAACTCTTAACCTTCCGATGGAGGGTGGAGCATGCTGGACACTGGGGCAGTCCACATTCTGGTTATTGTTTTGAATTTGGACTGCACAAAAAATGTTAATCTGAGACTGGTCATCAGGAAACTTGACCAAATCGTTTTTATCAAATGCCACATTGTGTGTGTGGGATATCATCTCATCTCCAATTATTATACCCTTCCATCTCCTTATATTTGTGTCCTCTGAGAAGGGCCATCGCCTGAAACCTCGCCGATTGTCTGCATTCCCGGCCACTGTCAAAACCGCAGCGCTTTTGACAGATGGTGGCTATTGAAATAAATTGTCTCCTCCCGCCGGGTGTCTCGCGGCTCGGTGAGGAGCGTCGCGATTGTTTTTAGAGCCTGTGCCTACTCGGCTCCCCACGTCTCTCTTGCAGGTTCGTGGCGTGGCTGTACGCACGCACGCACGCACGTACGGACGGGGCAACGCTCTGCCCGCAATGCCCTCAGCGCTGCTGCCGTAACCGCGAGTGTAGAGTTGCCGACGTGGTTTGGACACGACACCTGATGTCCGTCGTTCCGAGCATCCGCCCAGGTCAACGGTTCTCGGGGAAAACTCGCCAGCGGGCCGCGTGACGCCTGGCCGCCGCCGCAAGCCTTGGAGCGGAGACGCGGTAGGTGACGTCACCGCAGACCGTACGCTAAAACCGACGCTCTAAACGGAACCAAAGAGAAACGATCGACAGCAAAAACCAATAGCTGCTGCAGTAAAAACAGCAGCCATCATCGTTTAACATTTATCCCGCGCCTCCCATGTAGCGCATCTCAAGGTGCGAGTGTTTACAACCGCAGTAGCGACCGCAGCAGGGCCGTAGCAGCAAAGTCAAGATCATTTTGTTTAACCAGGTGAGGACTCGAGAGAGCGAGAGAGAGAGAGAGAAAGAGACGGGAGTGACCTGCTGCCACCTAGCAGCTGCAGCGGCGCAACCGGCTCGCTCGTGAAGGGCGATGGCTCTCGCGCTCAACAAGGTGTTCAATAAGGACAAGACGTTCCGGCCGAAGCGCAAGTTTGAGCCGGGCACGCAGCGCTTCGAGCTGCACAAGCGGGCGCAGGCCTCGCTGCACTCGGGCCTCGACCTGCGCACCGTCGTGCAGCTGCCGGCCGACGAGGACGCCAATGACTGGATGGCGGTGCACGTCGTCGACTTCTTCAACCGCGTCAACCTCATCTACGGCACGGTGGGGGAGTTCTGCACGGCCCACACGTGCCCCGTCATGTCGGGCGGCCCGCGCTACGAGTACCGCTGGCAGGACGACGGCGCATACCGTCGCCCCACCGCCGTGCCGGCGCCGCAGTACATGAGCCTGCTCATGGACTGGATCGAGGCGCAGATCAACAACGAGCACATCTTCCCCACCAGCACCGGTAGGCACGCCTGCTGCTGCTGCTGCTCGCTCCTCGCTGCACATTGCTCGCTGCACACTGCAAGCTGGTCGCTGCACGTTGCACCCTGCACGCTGCTCGCTGCAAGCTGCTCCCTGCAAACTGCTTGCTGCAAACGACACAGTGCTCGCTGCTCACAGCTCGCAGCTGCTGTAATCACAGTTGCTGAACACAGGCCCAAAGACCCAGCATGCCAAGTGGCCCGCAACAAAACTCCCAATTCTTGCAGGCATTGCTTTCCCATATCGTGACCACAAGACTTGATTTTAACCGAGAGGTGACCGGGTCAGAGGCCAGAGCGCCGAGCCGGTGCCGCCGAGGTCCTTGGCTCGATCCGAGCGGCTACCGGTCATTGAACCGGGTCCTTGAGTGCAGCGCGTTGATGGTCTCAGGCCGGTCACCAATGACTACAAAATCCCCATCACGATTGTTTCAGCTCTGAGAATGAAAATATTGCTTCGATCGTCGTGCGACGAACCTCGCTCGCACGTGGAGAGCGAGGTGGGGAAGTGCCGCCCTCGGAAGGCAGCTCTGTGATATCCGCTTCCGTGGACCGTTCTTCAACACGAAGCATCGTGGAGGGGGAAATTGATCGACAAACAAATTCGAATCGATGCTTTGTTACGTGCTCGCTGAGTCACCGCCTGCAAGGCCATCCCGGCGAGCAGGATGTAACTCCGTCTACGCGAGACGTCATCACGGGAGGTATTGCGCACAGCCGCGCGTGGAGTGGCGTCGAGTAGCCGCTCACTTCACAGAGCACCTTCACCCTCCCCCCGTCACCTGGAGTCTGAGAGCCTTGCGGCTTCCAGCAGCTGTAGCGTTGTAGTAGCAGGAGTGCAAACAACACGCCCGAGTCACACGCGTGCCCAGGCTTCCCGGCCATGAGCTCATTGCCACGAGTGACTGAGCAGGTGTGTGTACAGGTGCCTGTGTGGGTGTGTGTGTGTGTGTGCGTGCGTGTGCGGAGTGGTAGTGTAGTAATTAGCAGACTGCACTTAGAACCTGGTGATCTGAGTTGGCTTTCCGCTCGCAGCAATTATCAGTGGCGAATATCTAAAAAAACAATGTCCTGACCTCCCCACGTCGACTCAACCTTAAAAGATTGCCTGGTCCAGTGTGTAATCAATTTTACGGCGGAGGGAAGAGGCGGCCGGGCATGGTCCCGGCCACACCACCCACTCATATGCCACTTAAAACTTCATGGGTGCTTGCTGACACCACTTGCCCTAAATATACTGCTCATGCCATTGGGGAATGTCAGCATTGGTTCAATACCAGCACTGGACTGGCTATGACATTCAATGTCTCATCAGCAAAGTCAGGCTTGTTGAAACCAGCACTGGTGAAATGCCAGATGTTTACAGGCAAGTTTCAGCACCGACTCCGTAATACGCAACGCAGAAAAATCATTGGCGGTCACCGTGGAATGAGTCACAAAATAAATAATTCTCCGTGCCGCGTCCGGTGGTGTTTTGAGCGATGACGTCATCTTCCTCGGGGTAGATGCAGCCGGAACGGTCTGGCTACGAGCCGCACAACCGAGCAACTTGCACTACTCGCGGCCAGGGCTGTTCAACGACGACCGGTGACCAATTTCAGAATCGGTTCAGAGTCGGGAACCGGTAGCCGATTCCATTGGAATGCGAGTAATAATTGCACCGATTGACGTACGAGAACCGCACTTTGACCCACCTCCGATTAGCACGGTTGGCTACGTTCGGCGCAAAAGAAGTTCAGCATACATACGAGGCGCAGTCCTGCAATCCGCTTGCATGCACACACTGCTAGTAGAAGGGGCCTCCACTCAAGGGAGCTCTGGAGAGCCACTGGATAGTGGTGTTTGTATGTTGAACTCCTTGATCTACTCTTCATCTTGGAAGAGGTAGGCGTGCCAATACTCTACCCCACCGCGTGCGGCCTGCCCGATAACAGACCAACTGTGGCTGAATTCATTTACACCGCTGCTGGGCGGGCAGAGGCGGTGGAGAGATTCTAGAAACTTCTTCCCCATTAATAATAATAGGGTTTTCCCCTTTTTTCTGGCAAACAAAACTGAAACCTTTTTTTACAAGGATTCATGTCTGCATTAACCACAATACCTGCAGTCAAAATGCAAACAAAAAACATACTATGATAATATATGCATTGTCCTTGAAACTGATTGGTCCACACCAAGGGACGGCTTTCTTTTTACAGCCGTACGCCTTCTGGCGTCATCAAAAGAAAGCCGTCCCTTGGTGTGGACCAATCAATGTCAAGGACAATGCATATATTATCATAGTATGTTTTTTGTTTGCATTTTGACTGCAGGTATTGTGGTTAATGCAGACATGAATCCTTGTTAAAAGGTTTCAGTTTTGTTGCCAGAAAAAAGGGGAGAAACCCTATTATTACATTTTGGTACTGGCAAAGGAGGTCTAATGATGTAGATTTTTTCCCCATTGTTTTGACGGCCGTGCCGGGAGGTGGAATCGAACCGTGTGGTGCTGACCGTTCACACCGCCGCCGTGGGTAGAGAAAGACCCCCTTACATACTTTTTTCTTCGGTGCAGAAAACCGGTATTAGCCGGTTTTTACAGCGTTTCCTTCTCGCCGTTATCATGGCAAAATGCAAAAAAACTTTCAACAAACGCTCATAACCCCACGCACGTGCAGACGCACGCACGCAGTGCTCGCGGAGCAGAGGAAGTAGCCTTGTTGCACCACATAATTGTGCACGTGTTTGTTTGTGTGTTTGACTGGGTGCGATATTCATCGCATAAATGCAAACCGTGTAAGGTGTAGATTTTTAAAAAATCCTATGTATCTGCGCATAGGTGTATGCGAGTACGTGTGTGTGGGTGCGCGTGTAGTTTGCGTGGGGAGCGGTAGTGCAGTGGTTATCGCTACGCTCGCTTTGAACCTGGCGACCCCAGTTCGATTCCCAGCAACCAGTGATGATTATTTGAACCGATCCTGGGCCTCTCCCCTAGGTTGACTCAAATGAGTACCTGGTGTGGTGTGTAAATATCGCCGTGCCGGCCTTCATAGGTGTTTGTTGGCGTGTATGTGCTTGCGTGTCTGTGCATGTGTGTGCATTTGTGTGCGTTTATATCTTGCGTTGGAGTGTTTGTGCACGTGAGTGCGTGCGTGCGTACCCGTCTTTACATGTCTGCTGCGTGTGTGCGCGCGCCTGTCAGTCGACGCCCTCGAGGGATTTTCCAGGGGGGGGGGGGGGGGGGGTATCTCGCTAAGGGGAATGAGTTGTGTGCAAGAGAGAGCACCGAGGTGAGCCGTGGGATTCCCTGCAGCTGCCAGCGGAGCGCAGCGCCGGGCAGCCTCGCCGCATCGCCCGGCGCCGCGGCGACCGAGCAGCAGCGCTGGGGAGGGAGGGTGCCGAAGGGGGGGCGAACGCTCGCCGTGCAGAGGCGGCCCGGTGGGGCCCGGTGGCCGCGCTGGGCAGCCGGCATTGCTGAGATCGCGGGTTCCATTCTGCGTGTGAGACGTCCGATCCGGGTTAAACCGGGTTCTGATGAAACCGCGTTCTGGGTAAACCAGGTTCTCAAGCGCAGCGAGAGCTGATGGTCCAGAGCGTGGCCACGAGGAATATGTTGAGATGAGACGCGCTGTGATATTCTGGGGCGGTAAAGCAAGCGGCACTGCATATACAGAGATCCATACCCTGATGGCAAGTACACACACACACACATTCATGTTCCTGGAGCTACAGCTATTAAAACAGTCTCCTCTCCCCTTGCCTCCTCACCTCCCTCCTCGCCTCCGTGGTTCCCATCTTGCCAGGTGTCCCCTTCCCCAAGAACTTCCAGCAGGTCTGCAAGAAGATCCTGACGCGTCTGTTCCGGGTCTTTGTCCACGTGTACATCCACCACTTTGACCGCATCTCGGCCATGGGAGCCGAGGCCCACGTGAACACCTGCTACAAGCACTTCTACTTCTTCACCACGGCGTTCAACCTCATCGACCGGCGTGAGCTCGAGCCCCTGGTAAGCGCCCTGGTGAAGTTTTGAGCCCATAGTAGGCTCTGTAGAGGGTCTTGATACCTTGCTAGGCTCTGTAAAGGATATTTGAACATTGGCGGGCCCTGTATAGGATCTTGGAACCTTGGTGGGTGCTATAAAGGATCTTGAGCCATTGGTATAAACTCTCCTATGTAATAATAATTATTCGGTTTACCCAGGAAAACACGGACTCGTTTTTGCAGCGTCCTTAGGAGACGTCGTCAAGCTCCACGCGCCGCCGCCTCGCACACGGCTCGGACCGCTCTGCAGTCGCCGCTAATTTCATCGTGCTGGCCTCTCGCCACACCGGGACGCGTTCCCACCGAAATCCAGTCGTGCGCTTCGTCGTTCCCTGCGATGAAATCCGCGTGTCCGCTCTCCCGCTTTGCCGTTTGCAGAAGGAGATGACGCTGAAGATGTGTCACTGAAGATGCGTCGCAGATGGCCGTGCAAAGCTTCTCTGGTGCCCAGCGTCTCCCGTGCCACCGTCGTCGCCTTCCTGCACATTGCAGCCTCACTGCCTTTTATCCACAATGGGACCTCCCTCAGCCGCTCGCTCGCTCGCTCGCTCACTCGGCCGCACTCTCTGTAACTAGCTCACAGGCGCGCTTGCTCGCTCGCGGACGGAGAGTGAGTGAGAGCGAGCGACACTCGCTGCTCGTGTCGCTCCGCGCCACTGAATGTAGCTGCCAGCAGCTTCTCCCCCCCCCCCGCCCCCGTCGCCTTCCAAACCTTCCGAATAATTCCTCATCACCGCGTCCTCCTCCTCGTCACGTCCTCTACCCATCGTGCCTTCTTCACTTGAATGTGACCATCACCGCGGTTGTAGACGGACACGCCCAGGGCTTAATGCCATCTGGAAAATAATTATGCACCCGGCACACCGCATCCGGCGTACTTATCGCTACGGGCTATGGCCCGCTACCCTTAGTCACGTGCCACCTACTCCAGCGTATACGAGGAGTTGAGCCCTGGACATACGTCAAGCAGCCTCCAGCTGTGGGCCTCACAGACACCGGTACATGACCACTTGGCCATGGGTCCGTGAGGGCACTACGCAGCCTAAGGGAGAGGCTGCTTCTCTTCCACATTTCAATGGATTTTTTTAAACAAATCAACGTGCGTGCTAACGACGTGTTGTAGGGTGCATTGATTTCAGTCGTAGGATTTCGCGGTCAATAAATAGGATTAAAAATTGATGTTTGGCTAGGCCGCGTAATGGTCCTAGCCAAATTTGTGTCGTCAAAACCCTCCACAACCTGGCAAAGTCCTGCATGATAAATTGTCACGCGATGCGAGCGTTTTAACAGCGCGACATTTATATTGTTTCGGCTCACTCGGGCCGGAAGGTGCCTTTATTCTGACTTCCTGGAACTTGTCCTTGAAGATGCTCGACGCAGTTTCAAACGAGGTGTCGCCTATCTAATCGCTCAACTTGGCTGTGAGAATTGTCGTTGAGATTACCGGTGAGGGAGCTGAAATGATCACGGGTCGGCGCGTTAAAAAACGCTTGCACGCAACAACGGTTTAATTCGACTGCGTTGGGCCGGCGGAGGATTTTGACGACCGAAATTTGCCCCACATCATTAACGTGGAATCGAATCGTTCGGGCTTGGGTCGCCCGACCGCAGCGACGACACTGGGACCCCCAAGTCTAGCGAGTCCGACGGTCTCGGCCCGGTCACCGACGTCGGCACGTTGAGCCGCGTCGTTCGTTAGTTTGGCTAAATCGGATAAACGGCTCGAGAGCAGGGCGTGCCAGACGGCCGCCACTCCTCCTCGTGTAGACGAGAGGTCATCGAAGCGACCCCGGAAGTAGTTTTGTGTCCTCTTCCAGAGGCTGTTCTCCAACACGCGGCGGCGGCGGTTCACTTGCTCTCTGCCAGAGACAGTAAAACCTTGGATTGCGAGTTATTTGGTCTGCGAGTGTTTTGCAAGACGAGCAAATTTTTTAAATAAATATTAATTTTATAAACGAGCGACGTCTTGCAATACGAGCAGTGCACGTGTATACGCCTTGTACTGCCGAGCGTCACGTGATCACAACTGATATACGAGTGGTTTGATATACGAGTGCTTTGGATTACAAACACGTTTCCGGAACGAATTATGCTCGCAATCCAAGGTTTGACTGTACCTTCGTCCCGTGACGGCGGAGTGCAAAACAGCGCAGCGGTTGGGCGATGACGCGGAGAAAATGAAAACCAGGCCGCAATCGGGGTTTCTCTGTTGCCCCGTTATGGGACCTCGTGGGTACGTCCACGTCTTTCGGACGTTTGTCCGGCGTGGAAGAGTAGACCAAATACGACAGAGAGGAGCTGTACGGAGCTCCCTCTAGTGGAGGCCAATTCCGCCAGCAGTGGCACGAGTGAGCACTTGCAGGGCTGCTCCTTTACCGTGCGGTTTGTATTTCCGCGCGCGTTAATTGGTGCGTTAATTAACATTCCACTGGAATCGGTTAGCAGTTCACGAACTAAACGGAACTGGGAACCGATTTTGAAAGCGGTGACAGTTTGACAACCCCGGTAACTGCACCACTTGGGACCAACGGGATTGGCTGACAGAGGTGGCAGTGTGGTGGTGTCGCTCCGGATTGAATGTCGCTCGCCGGCGGTTAAGTCCGTGGCGCTTGCCGTAGCCGGGAGATGCCAAGAGTCGGCAGCTGCTGCAGCTGCTGCTGCTCCAGGGTTGAGTGTCTCGTTCTTTTCCCAGCGCTGGAACTTTTGCTTGCATTGGTGCCTCGTGCCCTCGCATGATTCGCAACCCAGGAACCACCATTGATGGGGAAGCCGCGCCTGGATTCGTGGGGAAAGGTGCGAGATGTATGATTATATTAATAATAATGATTACGATGATAACCTATTTACCCAGGAAAGCCACTTTGAGTCCATGGACTCTTTTTCAGGAGGGTCCTGCATTGGCATATTTTGCCAACGCCAGGTGACGTTGAGTATTTTAGATGTGGGAGCAAACTTGGAGAACCCCGGGGGAAACCCACGCAGCAGTCCAGGGGGAGAGAACGTACAAGCTCGAGGTGTCGAACCCAGGTCCTCCTTACTGCGGGGCACAAGCGTAGCCACTGTGCCACCCTGCCGGGGCCCCTACGTGCGGACGGCGTTGGAACGTCGGGACACCTCGCGCTCGCCCCGCGGCACGGCGGCGAGCCCCTCGGCCCGCGCCGTGCCGAGGGGAGCGGCGCCGGGGTTGGGTTTGGGTCCTTCGGAGCTCGGCGCTCGTTTCTCGTGCCGCGGTTGAGTACGCTCGACACAGATTCCCTTGTCCGGAGTTTTTTTTTTTTTTTTCTTCACCGCCGCCGTGATATTCGTGCGTCCGGAGGCCGTGCGGTGGGGGCGGTCGCCCGCGTCTCCACCGCGCTGGCTGTGCAAGCCCCTCCGACGTGGTGACGCACGGAAAGCCACGGCGAGTCGAGCGGCCGCTGCTTTCCCGAGTCGACGGAATCAAAAAGTTCCGGGAATTTTTGCGGACGTTTACAAATGACGGATGTCGGAGAAAAATCCCTGATGAGTGTCATCGTCATCATTGTCACTTACGAGCAATATCCACTGTCGTTATTGTTGTCACTTCTATTTGTCGTAATTTCTTTCCATTATCGCTATAATCACTATCAGATTTGTGTTCACTTATCATCAACATCATCTTCATCATCCCCTCCATAATCACCCAGCTCGGAGGCTAAATCGGCTTACAGGAAGCCGAAAGTGGCTGTTGCGGTAAGGAAAGTCTGAATCCTGCCATAGGAATGTGGAATTTGCACCACTGGCTCGGCACTGCCAAAATGAAATTGAGCCTGGCGAAGTGACGAACTTGAAACACTTTTAGATTCCAGTTACCCAGGTTGCAACTTGCGATTGAAAATCAACGCAATGTCGCCCGGTTGAACCATTATCGCCACTTTACTTCAAGAATCAAAACGCCAAGAATTGTAAACACTCTATCTGTTTATTTTGTTGTCTTAGCTGGGCGGGTCGACATTTTCGTTTTATAACCGCCCCAGTTGAAAGAGCTGTGTGTCTGCAATGTATCCCTTAGCCAGCCGAGCCACTTGGCTCGCAATCAAAAAGGTCACGCGCGTTCTCATCCCTGCCAGGGCGCGCACTGTGCCCATCACCGGTGGATACGAGTTATCGCATTTTTCGGGTGCCAAGAACGATTGTCTTGTGGCTATACTGGCACCCGCCATAGGAATGTGAAATTTCCACCACCGGTTCAGGTGTGTGTGGTGGTGGTGGGGGGGGGGGTTGTTGTATTGTTGCACCCATCGTGTGTCCCGAAGCGGAAGGGTTTATTTTAATCGGCGAGTGACCAGCATAACAGGTGTTACCGGCTGCGGGGCTGCGGAGTGTGCAACAGGGCAGTGCAGCATGGGGTTTCTCTGCGCCGTGACGCCTCGGAGTGCATGGCGGCTGCCCGTTGGTGAGCCCGAGTGCTGTGGGGGCATTGCACGCAGGTTCGCCAAACCCACGCTGGCCAGCGCGGTGATGTACGGTCGGTAAACCCGCACAGTGCCGCGAGTGCCCATCAAGCAGTTGATTGGCAGTGATGCGCAAGTAGATGAGCGGTGTTCGGCGCGAGTCGTCGAGTCCGTGGACGGGTGAGAAATGCCCGAGAAGTTAATGCCTCCATCCTGGTGTGATGCCCCGGTGACTTTTTTGTTTTTAGAAACGGATTCCAAATTTCCGCATTCGTTCGTGGGATGTCACCCATCACGCACGTGGCTAGAGCAGTCATCGCCAACGCTCTTGGCGAGCGAGAAATCCTTGAGGCACCATCGTGGGGTGTCGGACGTGCTCAGATGAACGGGCGTCGTCATCCAGGCCGGGATGGCGGTGGAGGCTCGCTCCTTCCCCGTGGGCGTCGCGATCGCCAATTCCTGCCTTGCCGAGACGTGGCGGCACAGCTGGTGGATTGATTCCCATCTGCAGTCCATCTGTATGGGGTGTATCGCACTCGCCTGCGTGTGCGTTGTCACTCCGGTTTCCTCCCACACGTTATTGGAGTTGGCCAAACATCGCAATGTAGGGGGGTGGTTGTGCATCGGTTCTGTGCGCGCGTTCCACATTATTAACGATGGATTCGCTCTTGGGCGACGTGCCAATCGCCGGCGTCTGTTTCACGATGCTGCTCGAGGTAAGCCGCCCTCCAGAGGGCCGAGTGAATGAAACCGAGGATGGTTCCAGCTGTAGGGGGCTGTGCACCGTCTCTCTGAGCCGGCTGGTGTGACCCTGCTGCACGTGGCCTTGTGTCGTGATGGGGGAGGAGGAGGAGGAGGGGGGATTGATTCTGCCCTCTGAATGTCTGGACACATTCACCAAATATGGAATGTCAGTTTTGTCGGCACAAATGTTTTTATATGGAAGGAAGCAATACAAATGTCCTGCAAAATTGGAGGCATTACTTTGAGGTGCTTCTTAAGTCGCTGGCCAGCTGAAGCACAGCAATGTGAACCTTTTTTCGCAAACGACGCAGACCCGCGTTGCCACCCGTCACCTGTGCTGTGGTCTCTTGGTGGTGGTGGTGGTAGGAATCCATCTGTGCTGAGATCCGGTTCCGGTATTGAGTTGAACTTTAGTTGCAGTGCCCTGCGCTGTTCTGATGGACCTAGGCCGACTGAGATGGAAGATGTAAAGGTGGCATTCCGAGCACACTTTGCAGTAAGCTGCGCACAGGTTGACCGTATTCTCTGGATCCTAAGACGGACCTATCTCCCTGTATTTTAAAGAAACGTTTGCGGGTGCGTCTTATAATCCAGTCGGGGCGTGCGTGCGTGCGCATGAGTCACCAGATTTGTGTAACTACACCGGGGCACCGGCTTTGGTGAGCGTCTTTTTAATCTGGAGACTGCGGAATTCTCATCAGAAAGAAGTTTTTGTTTTTTTTACAAAATCAAACAAGAGATTTGAGAAGATGTGTGTTTGTTTTTAAAAGGTGGTGTTTCTGGTTAAGATGCAGATTAACGACTCCTGATGACTGTGACGTAAGCTTTTTAAACGGTGGTTGTCAGTTTAGATTGTAAGGCGGATACGAGCTGGGGTATACTTTTGTGTTCAATAAAAAAATCCTCTCGCCGATCAACTCTTTGAGTGCTTCTCGGGCGCTTGGCTGCATCCCGTGAGCCTGGCGGTGCCGTGCAAGCGCATGGGGCTCATCACCTGCTGGCCCGTGTGGGTTGTGAGGGTCACCTTGGATTAACGAGGACCCATATATATCTAGTGGCGAGGGCCTCCCTTGCCTATCTCGCAAGAGCCCTCGCACACACTCGATGGAGATCATCGAGCAGTTCACCAGCGTTGATTCAAGCCTGGCTCTGCTGATAGGACACACTGAATTCCGAAACCAGCCCTAGAGTCTGCTTGTCCTGTTGAAGCAATGGCTGATGAAATCACATCTTCCCCCCACACCGCCTCCCCCTCCCCGCATAAGGTAGTGTGGCTAACTGTCTGGAGGTTGACTCGGCCTATCATCCCATCAGGATCGATAAAATCATGAGCAACTTGGAAAGAAGTCACCCGTGGATGGAGATATCCCCCCCGCCCGCCAAAGAAATTTGGAATTTCCACCACTGACTCAGGGCTTTAAACAGGAGATGAGCATTAGACGACAAATGTTTTGTTGCATGAACTCGACTACGTCTGTGCTAAATGACGTCTCTCTCTCCTAGCCCTTCTAGAACACGATGAGCGTTTACAGAATTCACTCGGTCCGCCACGACCGTTGTAAGGTGGCTTCATGCGGGTCACCCTGGTGACCCTCCGCGCATCCCGGCAAAATATAGAGCGAGGGGATGGCGGGAGCGAGGGGATGGCAGGAGGGAGGGGGGGAGGGAGGCCCCTTCACTCGTCGCGTTTCATTCCTAGAATCGAAGCCGTGATCCGCGGAGCGCGTGGTCTGGCCGTGGCCGGGTTCTTGAGTTACCGCAGCGCAAATAGAACGCGCAGCTCTACGCGAGAACTGCGCCAAAGCGTCGACGCCTC